TTTGAGCGCTCGCAAATGGGAAACGTATACGGAACAATACGAATAGTAGTTTGTTTCAAATTTTGACAGCACGTTTCTTTGCGCGCTCTTAAAATATCCTTCGCTTTTTTGCGAGCGGTAGATAGCTGGCGTAATTTGATATTCGAATGCGTTTTGCTTTGAATATAAAGTATAGTGACCAGTTGATCGTCAATTTAAAAAATTTTATCGAAAATAGAAGAATTGATAAACATTTTGGCCATTCAAGATTTTAGATTTTTTACGTAATTTGGTTTTCCGGGAACTATAGGGTGCATAGACTGCACGCATGTGCCCATTTTTCCTCCGAAAATTGAGGATCCGGAGTATCCTGAATATTTATATATAAACCGAAATGGTTACCACTCTATTAATGTGCAGTCGGTAAGTTTAAAGAATGGAAGATGAGTGGATAACGTTACAAAAATGTTGTTAGATATGTGACAGCAGCCTCAACATTCTAAATGTGAAAGCAAGGTATCCGGGAAGTAGGTACTAACGATGCATATAGATATACCTATATCAGAAAAAACTCGTTGTTGATCCATTCTCTAAATGGGGTGATGAACCATATAGGAAATAGACGACTCAATTCCTCAAAGGGGAAGGTTTTGAGAAATTGAGTTTTCCTATTTATGGAATCAATCAAATGTCCATGGTCTTATGCAGCAATTACATCGATTAGTATTGGGTGTGTGACACATTTATTAATAAATGTAGTTCCTTACACTAATACTTATTCTTTACAGGAAATTCGGGATATCCCCTTCGCTCTTGGTTGTTAACACATTTTAATAATGTGGAACCAAACACTCCAGAAAGCCGTTACAATAATCTCCACAAAACAACAAAGGCAACAATAGAGATGTAATGGTTTGTTAAAGAAGCAATTTCGTTTTTAATTCAGGTGTTGTCAAATCTATCAATCGCATCTTTACGATGATCGTAAGTAAAGTTGCGAATAATAGAAACTGTCACTCAAAAATTGATTGTTTTCTTGACATTCGTAACTACGTACACGTAACTTGGCGTATTCGCAAAAAAACGATCGCATCTCAAAAATTGACCCCCCAGGTGCGATCCGGAATGGCAGACTGTAAGCCGATCGCTACTCCAGTGGGTCTGGGTACGAAGCTTTTAAAGAGGAGAGCACCGCAGACTTTCAAATCCTGCAGAAATTCGACTTGACATGTCCATGCTAGAATACATGAAATACAAACTAATAAAATAATAATTGTATTCTTTCACGATAAACACTTACGACGTAGTGTGTAGGTCATATTTGAGCTTATACAGGTACAAGTGCTTGTAAAATGTCAAGTAACGAGTAGCCTGCTTAAGAGGTTATGACAACAAATCGATATATTTCGTTTACCTGAATAATAATTTCTGTTGACTCAATACAGAGTAACGCAAATCGCTGCAATCCTATTGTTAAAACAGGTAAAAAGGAATATTACACCCAAAACACTTATAAAATACACCTGAAATCTGCCAAGTTGAATTAGGAAATCGGCCCTCGCCGCAGTGTTGCCATAATTCTCAGCACGGCTTGTAAATGTACATACAATTGTGCTTTAATCCTAAAAGTAGATAAAATGAATCAAATAATTATGCATTCTGATGACACGTGTCATTCTTATTTCAAATGCACGATATAAAATGACGTTCAGAACATATGACAATTCTGTTTCTATTAAAACGATCGCGACGGCGTAATCTAAGCTTGCTATTTTTGACGCCTCTAAATTAAATTCAGAATTGTCAGAAGTTTTACAATAATTTATATGGCTTCTGCTATAAAATAAACTTTTGTATTATACACGACGATAAAGGGAAACTAACCATCTTGTGAAAGTTAATTCACTCGTGGCTGCGCCACTCGGTTGTTAAAATATCCCTTTATCGTCATGTATAATAAATAACTATGACTACTATCTTCTAAAAAAAAACAGTTGTATTAGTTATACCATTGTATATGCCTTAAGATAAAAAAGTTATCGTGATCGATTTACAAAAAGCGCATTTCCACAGTATCAATCTTTGTCTGAAAATCTTAGTTCGAGTTACTCCAGACAAATTCGTTTTCAGCCATTTAAACAAAACGAGTCAGCATACCTATACATGATGAAAGCGCATTTTTGGTAATACAGATTAGTATTTTATGTACGACTGCTCGATACAACCGTGATTAGAGTCGCAATGAGCGGCCATAATTTGCAATATTATGGCCTAGTCCATAATGATAAAGTAAAACGGCCACCTGCCAATGTGACGGTCGTAGTTAGGTGTCGATCCAAGGTAAATGCAAGTATTTTAGAAATACTTGACAAATGCTTGACATCTGTTGTCAATGATATATAGATTTAATCGTTTATTGAATTCCATGAAATTTTCTTCTTTAAGGGTTGTTTCAGCCGTACATAAAGCTTTGTATATATCACGTCCATAAATAGGCTTTATGTGGACTCGTCATATTCATTTGCGCCTCGCTCGCAAGCTCGCTCGGCTAAATAACCGACTCGTCCATAAAGACCCAGTTTATGTACATGATATACAGGGTGTCCCTAAAAGGTCTGTAGAACGCGCTACCATGGGTTCTTGGTATCAAAATAGGACGATTTAACCCAACTTACCTCTATCCAAAAGTGCTTCGGTAAGGCGCTATCTACCGCCAAAGATTTAAAAAAAAATCGTTATTTTTATTTTATCGGAAAATGGTTTTGCTGATTAAAATGAAATTCGGGATGTGAATGTCTAATGTAAAAAAGGTCTTTGTGATATCACCGTTTTGATTGTAGTTGCTATGTAGGTGGTAAAATACTGACCATCCACATCTGAAGAGGTCTAAAACTTTTTAACTACTATTTTGACAGTTCTGAATTTTTAGACACTGATAGACAGTTTACTTGCAAGCATTTTTTGTCTCTTGATGAATATCGCTATCTGTGATGGTTTACGAAAAAAAAATAAATTAGGCATGATGAATGGCATGCACCATACATGCGATTGTTCCTCAAAAAATCAGAAGATGGCTGTTAAACCTTAGAGTGGCGTAACGTTTGTTTGTTGTTTCTTAAACTTGAACAATTTACGTTTTGCTTGAAGACTTAAAATTTCATTGTTAAAATTGTAATATGGCCTTTCAATACAGTAACGCAGACACGCAGTTGAACAATTTACGGCCGTTACTATATAAATTTAAATACTTATCCAATTTTTTAGGTGAACTGGAAATGAAAACCATTTATTATGGATTAGTTCAGTCGCGAATCTCGTACGGAATTGTCGTATGGGGTAGCGCTTACCGAACGTTACTCTACAAGTTAGAAGTCTTACAAAAAAGGTTTCTTAAAATAATCTATAAAAAGAGTCGCTTGTATTCTTCTAGTTTGTTATACGAAGAGGCGAGTGTATACGACATCAAACAACTTTTTTTCTATAAAATAGTAATGAAACAATTCCGTGAAAAACACTTAGCAAACTTTATCTGCCATCCGCATTTCACTAGATTATGTCACCGGAGTAATATAGTAACATGTGCAGCCAGAAAAAGGATTGGTCAAAAATCTATTTCTTATTTATCATCTAGATTTTTTAACATTTTGCCTGAGGATATAAAAAGAAAAACTTCCGTCAATAGTTTCAAAAATAGTGTCAAAAAATTTATTTTAAATAGGAAAGAATTTTATAAGCGTTGTTATTGATATGATATAGGGTAAAGGTTGAGCATCAGTCAGTCTTTATTTTTACATTTGGTCCATGTTTATTTTTTATTTTATTTTATTTTTGTTTTTTTTTGTTTTTTTTTTGTTTTGTTTCAATTCGGTGTATAGGTACCATGCTTGAACCCCCACGCACAAGCTCTGCTTTTGTGGGTACCATTATTTTATTTTTCTTTTGCAAAGTTATTGTAACCATATACACTTATATATACAAAAAAAAAAAAAATAAATAAATTATTATTATTATTAAGTCCATCAGTCCAATTCTGTAACTTGAAATATCCTTAGCAACTTGTTAATACTGAAGGTAATTGCTAGATGAGCAACATTTGTTAACAGTGGTATTCTGTACTGACAAACATAGCAATGTTGCTCAAAATTTTAACAATTCAATTGCTTGACCCATAGCAATAAGTAACTGGTAAAGTGCTGTTGTTAAGTCTTAGCAAGTGTATTTCACCCGTTCAAATATGGCAGGTGGATGGTTTAAATACGAATTTTTAAACGCTGTTGAAGATTCAATTCTTCCCATAATTCATTAAGTTTTTTAATTTCGTTTGGAGCAGTTTTTTCATGAACTAACATGGCATTTTTAGCGCATTTTCCAAAGAAGTTGGGTGCGCTATTGCAGCCACTTTCTCTGTCCGTCTGTCCGAGGGCTTAACTACTCCTACAGTTCAAGATATTTAGTCCGTTCTTTTTCGTTCGGTAGCGTATAGCTCTGGCATCTGAGCCAAGGAAAATCTTGACGATTAAATTGCGCAATGTCAACTTTCCTATTTATAGAGATATTTTTTTGAAATTTTAAACATAGATGTCTCTAGTAAAGATAAGCATATCGCATATTGTAAACATGAGATGTGCGCATGCACAAACTGCGCAACAGTCAAATTTCTTATTTCTTATTTATAGAGAAATTTTAATAACATATGCTTCTAGGAAAGATAATCGTATTAGGCACCTGAACCAAGAAAAATCGTAACAATTAGACTGTGCATGCGCATTATGTATGAAACACGTTTGAAAATTCAACGGCATATGAAGGAAAACGAGACTAAGTTTCAAAATCTGTGCTCACATTACAACCTTAGGTTAGGTACTATCGAAATGATCTGGCGGCAATAATTGACTAAAACTAAGGAATTTCGACACGAAGCTGTATTCCATCCGTGTTGTGCAATTACGTATGTTCTGTTAAAACGCGCGATTTTTGTGTCCATTATTTTTATGTGGTAATATCGGCCGTGAAATTTCCTAATTAGCGTCACTTTAAATTGAACTTGACCTAATAAAAATGAGTTTAGTCCCCATGTTTACGTTTTGTTCGGTTGGATAAGTAAAATGCTAATTAATTAGTAAGAAAAAGATACGAACGTCATCCCTCTTAAGTTGAAGTGCTTTTGTTCGTTAAGAAATAATAATTCATAAGTCTACCTAATTACGCATATTTGAGAACACCATCCTAAATATAAGTGCGAAATTATGCGTAATAGCTTGCAGTGTCTTTCGAGATAGATTGCTGGGAAGCTAAATTCTTATGCTTTGTAATGACTTTGGGGCTTTCAGTTAAGGATTCCTAGTATAACATTTTTGGTTACGCTGACTATTATTATTGGTTCATTGTATAACAGTTCCTGGTTCTAAGTAAATATAATGAACGCAGATTATTCTTATTGCAACGTATTATCTGTAATGCTAACATTACCTACATGAATATTTAAGCAATCCATCATAAAACAGTTAAATGAACCTTATCATTTATCTCGCATACACTGGGCTTATTTACACTTAGTAACTTACTAAACTCCTAATACAGTCACTATTGATTTAATGTGGGAATCCAAATTGTTCGAGAGATTGCCAAAGGCAATTTCTGCATTTAGTTAATAGCGATAAATACTACACAGCGCGCCTCATTGGTAGTATTTGTTATTTTTGGTTTTGTACGTTACGGTGCCCGTTTTTTTACTGCATAATATACTGTTGCGTAAACTGACGGACGGGCGTTTTGCTTGAGATCAGCACCTACAGTAATGATGAGTCACCCTCTATGATATGAATTTCAAATTAGATACATTTGGAAGAAATGCTTGGTAAAGCTAATTAGTTTCAAGATAAGCAGATTTTATTCGCCGAAGTTTATCGCTCGACAACGCTTGGTACAAGGAAGTAGGAGCGGATGTAGGGGAAGGGAAGAATGTGTTAAATAGCAGAGACGGACGTTAAACGGCACTTTTGGTTAAGCTTTTTGTTTAGTGAGCTCGTTGTTGTGTATGACAGTCTGCCGTAATCAGGTTTGTTTTTGAGAGATAGTGTTGTGAATAGTAAAGTGTGATATAGAGAAAGTTAATAGCTCTAAGAGATTTTATGGGTATGCTCCACATTTCAATAGTAATGTTCGTACTTCCCTCTATATTTAATCGTTTGCCAAAAGCGACCCGGTGTGTCGTCGTGTGTGGGTTCGCCATCAATTTGTTTACCAGCTCTTAGCGGACGCAGTTGTCTGGAGTCTAGCAAGGCGGAGAACGTAGGCCCTTGCATAGGACGACGACATGGGGCAGTTCGTGTCACTGGTCGAACAATAGTTGAAGCTCGCTATCGAGGTGGTGGTGCTCTTTAGTGTCTGCACTCTGCAGGGCCCTCACCAGGTACTTGATGGTCTTCTATAGCGTTGTCTGCGAAAAAAAAGGAGAAACCTATGGGGGGAGGTGTTATAAACTTGAAACTTCCAATTCATATTTCAATTTGTAATGTATACTTAAAAACACTTAAATTTTCTTTTCTTTTTTCAACAATTAGGAAACTACTTCCATTACAAGAAAGGCCGATTTTCTACCTCTTAACGGTAGGTGTTCATTATTCATTTACAATTTTTTTATCCGAACCGCACTATTATACAATGCGGCGGTTGTAGAAGTAAACTTGTGCGGGATGTTACGACTGTCGTTGTGAATGCTTTCAATATATGGATGTTGCAATCGAGACCATAAAAGTCTTTATAGTAGAGTTATAAAAACATACTACGTCTACGAAATTGAGCACGTCCAACGTATAGGGTATTCAAATACCTATGCTACCGAGAAGATGGATGTTATCCCCCATTATTCTCTGAGGCGATTATGTGCGCGCGATTTGAACATTCACCTCTTAGTACCAGAAGAAAGCGGCTATGTTACCTTTCTCTACAAACTTGTGTCCAATGCTATCGATTGCCCTTCTCTACTAAACAAAATCAGGTTCCGCGTTCCAAGATTGTCGTCAAGATGCGCAGCAATATTCAACCCGTTTGGATGCAGAACTGCTGCGTTACAGAGATCACCAGTTCATTTAGTGTGCTCACTAGTGAACGAATTACCTTCCACAACGGATATATTTAATATCACTTTAAACGAACTGTTACAATTCGTAGAATGAAATTTGGTTGTATCTGAGTTGAATTTTTAGATTGTGTTTGTTTATTTTTTTCTTGAATAGTTAACGGCTCGCAATAACTTTAATATTTCTTTTTTAGATATTGTTCTGTTGTAGAGTATTTACTTGTTTGGACAATAAATATTATTATTATTATTATTATTATACTAGATTATTGAAAAGTTAGTATTTTTTAAATCTGAGGTAGCGCAAAGCACTTCAATATCATTAATTTATCACTTTTTGAGTGCCCGCCGGCTGTAGCTCGATGCGAGATATAGCTTGTTTCAGCACACCCAATTTTTATCAAAATTTAAGGTACCTATTCTTCTCAAACGATAACCGATAGATAAAAGAAAGATAGTTTATCGTTTGCAAAATAAAATACTTGGTGTAATTTCACTTAGAGATTAAATTTATGATAAAATTGATTGTCGTTGAACGTCTGTAAACCAGCAACTACGCGTGGGCCATTTTTCGGCCATCAAAGTCAAGCACTAGTCCTTTGTTCTAAAACCAAATGTATAATTATTGGCTTCGACAACTGTCGACAAGTAAGCCCAAAAAGTTAAATTCAATAATTGACAAATGAGAAATACTTACGTACTGTACAAGATGAAATGTATTAGTTAAACAAACTGAGAAACATAAAGCATATTAATAACTGCCTCTTGTCAAAGAACTGAAAAGAAAGTCATGTGTTAACTGTAAGAATGTTCAACACGAAGCAATGAGATGTTTAAGAACAAAGACAACTCAACTGATATGGCGGGCATCAGCACGGCATAGCCATATGTCTTATTTTTGCACCAACATACCTATAACCCTATACCTACTAAAGTAGTTGACCAGTGGCCGTTTGTAAAGGCTGTTGCAGAGATCAATAAAAGCCCCGTTTGACTTATTTTTAAGAACCACTTTACGGCATATTCAAAAAATTCTAAAAAAAAAACAGTAGGTAGTATAGGATGATAAAAAAATTAATAAACTCTTTTTAGCGCATTTTCCAACTCATTGTCAAAAGAGCATTGAATTGCACTTTGATCGATATCTAAAATGCTAGTTCGGAGCATCTTACCTATATCGTATCAAACTGTCTTATCTATTACTACTAATCAATAAAATTTTTGGAACGTAATTCTCCGATATAAAAGCAGAAGTATTTCTCTCTCACTGTATTAGGGTTTTTGCTTTCGTATCAGACATGTGTCGTATTTTCCTGTTCTTGCTCTTTGTTGGAATTTTGTCCATCAACGGAATTGTGGCGGAGACTTGTTCGTGCAAATTCTCCTGTTCATCGGCAGAAATCAAGCGGTAAGTTATTAAATTCGCAACATCCTAATGAATTACTATTAAATTGCAATTACAGATCGAAGTGCAAAGAACCCAGTATAGTATCTCCCGCCATGTACTGGTGTTGCAAGTAAATGTGTGTAGAAATACCAGTTTCCTTGCATTTACGCAAGCTGTATAACATATGTTAGCGTTAAAAATAATAAATGTTTACTAAGACAGTTATGGAACAAAAACTCCACACCTTTCGTAGAAATTGGTATACCTAATTTGTTACATATCATCATATGAGATGCAACCACGAACTTATAAATTAAGATGGACTACTAATGCTGAATTAACAAATGACACCTACATGGGGGCCGCCATGATGTGTACTCACATGGCGCGAAATTCAAATCAACCAATAAACAAGCATTAACCCAACATTAACCTCACGTTTTCTAAATAAATTACTGTGACACATGTCATTTTCCAAGGCTGCAATAGTCTCAAAACTTGAGCACTAGGAAAATAACTAAAATGTGCACATCATGGCGGCGCCCATGCTAGGGCCATTTTAAAGTCACTAGATATATTTTTCTATATTTAGTGACTTTAGCTCATTTCTACCTCTATGCAAGTGTTTGATCACCAGTCCATCTTAATTTATAAGTTCGTGGATGCAACGTATACCATACAAGTATACTATACGCAGTTTTACATCCAAAAACAATACTCAGTGCTACCTTTTCCATTTGATGGTAGATGGTAGGTACTACACCTCAGCCGTTGATAAAATTTGGCATGCTCTAGCTTAATGTACGTCCTGCGATTCAAAGCAATGGATGTTTATCTATTTCTAAACAAGGACTTATGATACTTTAAGAATCATCGACATTCGAATAGTTTGATACACTTCACTGGAAGAACAATAGCTTCATTCGCAAAATCTTCGAGACCGCTAACGATAAATTGTGACGAACTCCGGTTTAAGTCCACGCACACCCGGTCGCCTAATCAAAAAAAAGAAAGACAATTAGTTAATATTCATTTAATGAAGTACTAATAAAATAAGTATTTATAACTCATTTGAGTCGGACGGTCGGTCACTCGGGCACCACCAAGATTTAATCCAGCAACCCCTAAATCCTGGGAAAAGGGCGGTTTCGGTACGGACAGGTGTTGGCAGCTTCGGGTAGCCTCAAGTTGGAGAAAGAATCGTCCCACGGGTCGGCAAGAGTTCAGCACAAAATGGCGGCGGTCACTTCCGGATTACCTAAAACAAAATATGGCCGACGGCTCCCGACGGTAAATTTCCTAACGGGAACAAAGCAACAACGTACAAATTAAATAACGGTGTCAATGGGAAATAAAAGGGGAAAAGCAAGAAGAAAAGAATATACTTCATCCCCCCCTTAATTGAATTAATTGAAAGTTACTAAGCGCTTACCTTAGTTAGTAACGGTGCGGTGGTTGTTTTATTCACTTTAACAGCGGCAGGCAAACGATGATAAAGCTATCCAAAGAAAACACGGTAGTTTAAGCTTAAGGCGTTAATAAAAGCTTAGCGGAAGGGTGGCAAAAGTTACGGTTAGTGCAAAAAGGTAAAAACCCAAAACGGTAGTTAAAAGGAAAGGCCTACGGTCGCTCAAACGGCAAAACGGTAAAACAAATGGGTTTTGGTTGATTTGAAATGAGACGGTTTCGCAAATTAGAGAAATCAAATGACATACTTACAACTCGAAAGTATGAAGCAGAAAAGAGCCTTCTCAAATTGAGCGTTTACCTTTTAAAGAAAACCCATTTTGGTAGAAGTGGAACAGTGAATTTCCAGAGCCTCGCTGTATTCGCACCGAGCGCGTTGGCAAATAATTCGGTCCTGTGGTTATCGTGAAAATCTTGGACAACTTGCAAACAACTAGAAAAATTACAGCGCCTCTGTGGACACCTCCCTCGACGGTTTCTGACAAGGTTTACTGCCGCCCATTAACCTGGCATTCATTAACACCTACCTAATTAAGGGCAATCAAACCTAAATACTCATCAATGTCAATCCAATCTGCAACTAGCTCCCTTGGACTTTTTCTTTTCAAACGGCCCTATCGCTTTAACACTCTTATCGCAACATGCAGGAATACGGGCTGGACTGCAAAACTTGTAAACAACTCGATTTGAACTCGTTCTATCCTTGCTTTTACTTATAAACGAGTTTATAAACACCTTATAAACAATTAACGGCGCTGAAACTAAAGAATATTAATTGTCCCTCATCTTCGCCAGAACAACACTCTTCGGTGGTTACAAAAATTATTCCAAGATTCCAGCTAGTATGGTCGTAGGGCGTAGGCGGACTAATTAAGTACGGAATCTCGTCTCCATGGCATCGCGGAAACTTCTCGAAATTACGGTTTTCTATGTAACGAAGCCCAAACCAATCGGTACTATACAGGGTGGTCCTCGTAAACGGCAAACTCCACGCAGAAATTCCGGGTGCTTTGTTTCAAAATTTTTTGGGTTCTTCCACACTGCATATTCTAACTGATAAGGCAATCGAAATGGGTTTGGCTGAGTACCTCATAGTAAGAATAAAGATGATGGGCGCACACGCTATATGAAAACGTGAAGGCTCGTTTGAAAATTAATCAACATAAGCACAACTGCCAGTGACTTGCGGTCTGCGGACATACAGAAAACTAATCATTAGCACTAGTCAGTGCCGTGAGGTTTAACTACCTATTCAATTTAATTTTTGTTTATGCAGTGCAGCCGTTAAATAATCCCTTCTACCCTTCTCAATTGATCGGGACTCCGAAAAAGAATCCTAGAAAAGAAACTGAAGGACCAATAACGATCCCGTTCTCGAGTTCACGAACGCCATCGGTATTCTTCTAGAAGCCGGTCTCCCTCTTAGTCCTCAGCTGGTAGACATTTTTGAAGGTATTTGAGGCACGCTGAAAACTTGTCCAATACTTCTCCATAAATACCCAAACACAGATTTGCAGACCTGTCCGAGTAGTAGCGGGGGACTACATCAACCCTTATATTTTTAAAGATCGAAATGCTTGTTCCAAAAAATGTTCTCGAGGCATTTCGAAATTTTTACACCTTTAAATTTAATATTTAATTTAATATTTTTTCCACATTTGAAAATGCAAAACAATAAAGCAGGTTTCATTTGAAAAAAATCAACTTTTTAAGGTTTGAAGTAATTAAACTTGACCATTAATTTTAAAATGTTAAAACCTTGTAGAAAGGCGATCAAAATTTAAATCATTCGCATGTAGCATCACGTTAGAATTATTGATTTTGGAAGACTTTTTGGAATCAAGTCAACGGAGCCATAGATACAGGGCGCTAAAGAAAAGCAGTCAAACGTCAAAAAGTTTGAAAGTGAATAACTTCAAAACCTTTGATGCTAGGTATAGGAAAATGTGGTATCAATCGAGGTAGATTTTCATGTAGATTTCGAAGATGCAATAAAATATAGGGTATTCTATTTAAAATAAGAAAGTTTATATCCACATTCGGTAAAAACGGAAGTGAAATGATCATATAATTATTTTTTATTATACCTGAATCACAATCTCCGTTTTAAACACTCAAATGCGTGCGAAAAAGGGCCTTTAAAACACACGTGCTTTAAAGTTGCTAAGTAACGATACTTCAAGTTTGACTTTTAAAACTGTCATCTGGATGAAATAAAAAAATCCTCTTAGGTCGCTTTCTGTAAATGCAGAACATTTCTTTGGCTTTTGTACCTATCCTTTGGTTGAAGCTTTCACAAACGCGCGTAATTTAGGGTATGCTTCCAAATCTGTTCCACTTTTTAATCGCAGCATTGCTTTAAAGTTTTGAATGAATGCACCAAAATATAGAAGATTTAAATACCTTTGACATTTCCTTCATATATGCCAGCATTATGGATGCATTTAAGACTGTATTCGTAAGTAACTCCTATTCATCCATGGAAACAACTTTTCATATTCTTTATAATAGGCTTTACTGGAGTTGGATTTTACACCTACCAACGTTTGTTTAGATTTTACAACAACCGATTTAATGGACGGTGTATTATCTTTTTCAACGGAAATCGTTTAATTCACAAAGACGATGATTTTTATAAGCAAACGTCAAGTGACATTTCCATGGCAATCGTGAAATTTCGAACACCCAGCCCACTTAATTAAACATGTATTCGAGTATAACGTCAATATGACTTCATTGTATTTCCTATTTTTAAATTATACTGCAGGTATAATAAAAAATACTATAAGATACACCTGTATAATTGATCTTTAAAGCACTTGCAACGTTAAAGGCACTCCGCTTTGCGTCGTGCCCTTAAACTCGTTGCGCGTGCTTTAAAGACTTGATTATACACTTGTATCTTAAA